AAGCTATATGAAGAATTGAAAGAAAATTAAGTTTCAAGGCTTTTGGTTTGGGCAACTGAGTAGATTATGGCATCATTATCCAAGATGAGTGATATAAGAGAAGCAGCAGATTTTGCAAGGAAGATACTTGAGGTCCATCTTGGCCACCCCATTAGGTCTGATAATGCCAGGATAACTGGAGGTGTTACAGTGCAGTTAGAAATATGAACTTGGAGCCTAGAAAGGTTTAAGGTTAGTGATAGAGCTTTGGCAGTCTTCATTATATGGTCAAAGCCAGAGGAATTAATGAGATTGCCAAAAACAAGCAAAAAGATGAAGAGGCTGAGGATACACCCAAGGAAACATCATCATAGCTGGTAATAAAAAATTATATGACTTGTGGAGGACAGAATATGAGGACAAGACTGGTAAAATTGTGTTTGCATTAGCAAAAGTGAGGAAGTCAAGAAGAGAAAGAAATTTGGTGTTTAGTTTTAGACAAGTTGAAGAGTGTTTTCTTTCATCATCAGTAAGCAGTAAGACATGCTTCTTTATATCTGAATTGTTTCCATTTATCAGTTGTATATTTTTTAAAGTCTACCTGACCATCACTAAAAAATGTGTATGTTGGGAAGGCCGCTGGATTGGGAGTCAGAAAGTGCTTGAGTTTGTTCTGGACCACTATTCATTCAAATATTTATTAAACATGTACTTTGCTGGATGTTGGGTTGCAGTGGTGAGGGATCCGCCCCTGTGGAGCTTACAAATAGAGAAAATGTAATCAAATACACACAAATAAATATGTAAATACATATGTACTAAGTGCTTTTAAATAGCAGTTGCAGGATACATATGAATTTAAAACATAGAGACCTCTCCTAAAATGAGGGTCAGGGAAGGCTTTTTGGAAGAAATAATAGTTGAGATCTGATAAAGGAAGTAGAAGCAAAGATGGGGGACAGTTTTCCAAGAAGAGAGGATAATATATATGAAGGGCTGACAATAGAAGGAAGCGTGGCCATTTTGAATTTTGAGAGTAGGCTATATGGGTGGAATGGAGAGGATAAAGTAAAAGAGCCTTTGAATGGGTCTGGTGAGATGGGCAGAGTCTAGTCTTATTGAAGATTTCATAGTCTCCAGATACTTGTTCTGGACAAGAAATGATGGGTGCTTATAGCAGAGTGGTGGTGAAGAAGGAAAGCAGTAAACTAATATGTAAGACATCTTAAAAAGCAAAGTCAACAGAACTTGAAAAATTAGGTAGGGTGGGTGGGGTGAGGGAGTCAAAGATGATTCTCAGGTTTCTTTCTGGTTTGTGCAACTGGATAATGCCATTTACCAAGAAGATGATCCCTGGAAAAGCAAATAGATCTGTGGGGATCGAAGTTCATAAGCTCAGTTTAGAATATGTTGAGTTAAGGATGCATTTGAGATATCCAGTGAAGATTCTAAAATAGGTATTGACACACAGATCTGAAGGAAAGGACTAAAAAAAAGGAAGCAACGATGAGGGAGTCATTGGAACATAAATGGCAATATAAAACACTGGTGTGGACAGGATCATAGGGATACAGTGTATGTTGAGAAGAGGGCCTCAGATTGAACCTTTAAAAGGAATTGAAACATTTAAAGTCCAGGTAGAAAAAGATAACATAGCAAATGAGAGTGAGATCATGTGACCACATAATTAGTAAGAAAAGCAGGAAAGAAGTGAGAGTTTTTCAGGATGGAGGGAAGGAGTAATCAGCAAACACTGTGCCTTTGGACAATGCCTATAATCTGTGTGCTTACCTGTTAAACAGGTAATGTTTGTCTGCATATCTCAGAGCATTGTTGATCACATCTGATCCTTGTTGATCTGATCAGATAAGATCTGCTAATGTTTGAGAAATGTTGAAATCCGTCATTTTATTATGTAATCATTCTCAGTTCCCAGGGTTTCTTGTTTGGTTAGTTGGTTTTTAACACTGGGACCATTCACACTCTTATCTTACTCTTCCAGGGCTCTTTAGAACAATGAAAGAGCCAAAAAGATATGAATTTGAACATGAACATGTTCCTAGTTCTTTTGCACAGTTGCATGGGAAGCAATTATACTCAGGATCTGGAGCATCTCTCCTACTTACTTTTCTCTCCTGCGTTTCCCCTAGGAACCTGGAAATCCCCAGAAGCTATTTTGGGACCTGTGGGTTTAGGCTTGAGCACCTCTATTCTATAAATAAAGCTACTGGGTAATCAGTTCTCTGTGATTAAAGTGCTGGCTAAGGGTGGAAAAACTTTTGGTATTCAGAGGATGCTGTATCGGTACACTCTTCCTTCATCTTAAGTGTTAATTAGTGACACATCACAAGCTGTCCCCACTTTGACTTCTGGAGTGGTCATTACTTAATCTTTTGAAAGAGGGAAGGCCAGATGATAGGGGCCCCTTCCTACAGATCTTAGTCATCCAGTTACCTACTATAGTGATTGTCCTTTACCTTCACTGCTGAAAAGTAGAGCTAACTAGCACCAAAACCTCACTCTTCCTGTAGGTCACTGTGGCAATAGTCTCAACCACAATAGACTACTATGTACAAATGATTCATTTCCAGACTTCTGCTTTCCTTTAGAGTCAGCTGTCATATGCTGCCTGTGACTCATTCACGCTCCTTTGCCCCAAGGAAATAAGCACTCTCAAGATTTCTGAGTTCCAGGCTCCTCCGAAGCCAAGATAGTCATGTTTTTATGATGGTGCAGCACAGAAGCATTCTCACTAATTCCCACTTGCTCTGCTGCCAGCTAAAGGACCATTGTTTCTGAGCCTAAGAACTGAGACGGAAGGGAATTTGTGTTGCTTTGATTACGCAGGACAAAAACTAAGCCAGTCATAGCATGTAAACTATTAAAGAGCTAGTAAGTATTTCCACAGTGATTCAGAGGGTGAGAGATGGCCATATATATATATATATATATATACACACACACACACACACACACACACACACCTGATATTTTAATTCCATATTTTGCTTATCAGGGAATGCAGAGACTTTTGGAAAATTCAGAAAGTGACCTTGAACTTTTCACACTCTATAAACTGTCTTAGCCTAATGAAGCTCTACAAAGGGCACTGATCTTATGCTCATTTTTCCCCCTTCTTGTTTTTAAAAATTGACATTGTTTTCTAAACTCTAGTTTTTTACTTAGCAAACTAAGAAATTTATTAGTTTTAAACAAGGATTTAATATTGAGGAGGAAGTTTTGGTAGTCATGCTTTCTTAATCTCATTTCCTGAGCACTGTCTCACCAGTGTCCTTTATATTCCAGAATCGGGTCAGCTGTCATGCATTTTTGCCAAATGTTCATACTGTTGAGGCCAGAGACAGATGAATCACTTACTGCTGAACTAAATTAAGCTAAAATGTGCCATTGGCGGCCTCTCTATTACAGAGTTATTCCCTGCTACTAGTGTCAGTAGGTTTTGGATGCCTGGATACATTATATTCATAAATCAAAGGAACAAGGGCAAAAAAATGTTTTAAATGTGTGTAGGAGCTAAGAAACCTTATGTTCTTTTTTTTCCTAATATAATTATGTAACTAAATATGAAAACCTAACCTATATAGTGATTTTTTTGATATTATCAGCCTTGACATTATTAGCAACCATTTTATGGACAAATCATATTTGATTAGGGTAGTCTCATATTAGTATAAATGAAGTCAAGTTAGGTTTACAGGATATTTATTTTAAATAAGGAATATAATAACCTGGGTAACGTGAACATTTAATTTTGTGGTTAAAACCTGTTTATTGAAGATCAGTTTCATTAAAAATCCATACTGGTAGCCTTTAATCAATAACAAACTAAAACCAAGCTTTTTCTGTGATGAATAGCAATTTCACTAAGATAGAAGGGATATAACTTTTTGTGACTCTCCCAGTTTATTTCCAGTGATTTAAGGAAATATCACAATGTTCTTAAAGCAAAGCTCAGGGAAATTTTTTAAAAATTGTGTGCATTAATTTCATTAGTAACAGAATAGTGTTCTGAAGTCAAAAGCTTATTAAAAGCAACTGATCAAATTCACAAACTTATTGAGCATCTATTTTATTAAAGACACTGGAATAAAACTTAGAGGATACAAAAAAAAGTAGCATCTACCCTCCCCCCCCACACACAGGGCGATTTTAATTTAATAGAAAGGCAGTTACACAGTGAACAAAGTTTAATAACAATTTAAAACCAGTAATGATTTAACTAAAGAAGGTGTCATGGTATGTAGCATATGCTTAATTACCAAATGAATGATACACTGTAGGCATTCAAAAAAGGCAAAGAACACTTGCAGATGTAATCAGAAAGGAATTTACTGAATAGGTGGGATTTAAGCCAAGCCAACTATTAATAATTTTACCAATTGTGAGATACATATAGAAACAAAGCATGTTTGGTGTTGGAGTTGACATCTCTGCAGGGCAGCTTCCATCTAGTTATCTGCCTACGTCTACATATTGATTCATATGTTGGTTTTCCAATTTACAGAGTGTACTGAAGGCCATTTGTCTAAATACGATGGCAATTACAGTGTTGGCATCCCCTTTTGTAGAGTTGATTGGGCTGAACAGTAAAAAATAATTATATAAAGTGTCTCAATGTAAAAGATCATCTATGCTCTGAAGATAGACATTTTTAATGTTCAAGAGAAAAACATTTTCAAACTCAAATTGATAAAGGTAATGAGAACTTATCAAAAAATATATATAGTCTTGGACTTCCAGGTGACTAAAGGTCCTGTTAAAATACAGATTCTGAATCTGTGAGTCTGGAATAGGACCTGAGAATCTGTGTGTCTATCAGGCTCCCAAAAGAAGTAGATGATGCTGGTCTCTGCGCTATGAGCAGCAAGATTATAGAGAGAATAACACCATTGTTCAGGGAGGGGTGTGTCTTAAATAGTACTACCCCATTTAAGAAAAATAGCAATATTGTTAGAGTTTTGTGAGAATAAAGGACAAAAGCCATATAAAATAATCTATCTTTGCCTTTAGCACGAAAGCAAGAAATTATCAAAGTCACTGAACAACTGATTGAAGCCATCAACAATGGAGACTTTGAAGCTTACACGTGAGTAGAGGCACATTTATTTTGCTTTCATGCATATGACAAAATATTTTCTATGTGAATGCGTTCTTCAGTGTACCAGAATTCATGCATATTTAACCCCAGGTTTGATATCAACAGTAGAGTTATTTCAAGGTATAAATTAAGTGTCCCCAGGAGAGAAATAAATTTAGGATTTAGAGAGGAAAGACAAGACTTCTAATAGGAGGACTGGGGCTTTCTCTGTCAGTGCCCAGACACAATCACCAGCACCTCCATATGGGGAAGGCATTCCAGGCAGAGCATCCATGAGAGCAAAACCATGAGAGAAAACACAAAAAAGGGCATTTTGGTTTAAGAAACGTTTTGCCTCGCAGCTCTGTCGAGGTGCTGGGACAGAGAGAGAGAGATCAGGAGGCAACGTGAGGCAGCCTTCTTCCTCTTCAGCCAGTACACCTCAACTTTATCTTCGTCTCTTTTATGAGTTTGTTTCTTAGGTAACAATTTATTTGAAGGAAGGTCCAAATGCTTAGTTCATAAACTACTGGATCATAGGGTATATAAAGGAAATCACTCCAATCAAATAAAAATAAAGCATTCAAACAAATAGGGCATGAAGGCTTATTTCACAAAGTATGTGGGTAAATAAGTTAGCTATTGGGGTGAAGATAAAAACCAGTCTAATAAGCCTTCCCCTATTCCATACAGGTGAGTTCCTCTTGAATGAAAGAGTTAAATGCAAAAAAGAGATTGAATTTGATCTCTGATTGGAAAGATCTTTATAAGTTTAAAAGCAGAGGAAGTAATCACAAATAAGATAAAATGATTAGGCTACCAAAATAGATAAAACTTGTATACTTAAAAAAAAAAAAAGCAAAAAAATTTAAAAAGCCAAGATATGCAAAATTGAGTGCAAGAGCATTTTCTGCTCATCAGATCAGCAGGGTAAAAACTGCTGACAACCAGAGGGGTGCAAATCCTGCAGGACTATGGCGACTCTCCTCCACCACTGGATGGGGTATAAATAGAGGCAAATCTTTAGGTTAGTGGTGGTGGCAGGGGTTAGAGGGGACATATAGTTCTTATATACCAGAAAGCATTTATGAAGTTTCAAATTGTTTTAATCCTCTTTTTACTTATAAAAATTCAACATGGTATGGATTTTTAAAGCATGGATAAAAATTATAAACAATCATATTTATTGAAACAGTATTCATAATGGTGAAAAATTGGAAGCATCAGTCCAACATTAAGGTAACCAGTAAGTAATATGTGGTGAATTTGGTACAGTAGATATTTATGCAGTTTTTGGCGCTCTGGCGAAATGCTTATGATGTAATTATGATGTACATAATTATTCCAGTTACATTTAAAAAAAGCATTAAAAATGGAATGAGATATGCCCAAATGATTTTTAAAAAGGGTAAAAGGACATTGCCTCTGGGAAACACAATTATGTGTGAGGTTTTTTTCTTTCTTCCCCAATTTTATGTAAGGTATTTCTTTTATCATCAGTTACAGATAGTCAAATATTAAATATGGAAGAGAGTAACTGAGTGTAAGAATTAAATCCAAGATTGCTTCTTATAAATTGTGTATGTGCATATAGATGCAAACACATGCATACACATGTGTATTTGCATCAACTATTTAACATTTAAAATAAATACTGAAATAGTATGATATGGAGTTTGAAAGAAAACTCAGAGACAAGGGTTCCCTTTTAAACAGTTGAGAAGTCTGTGCCATAGAACCTGCTCTTTTATTCTTTTCCGATAACTTTATTAGACCTATAGGATTCTCCAAACATGAAAATACATATATAATATATACATAATAATGCATAATACATAATACATATATATAGGTAATAGCATATTATATATACACACACACATATATATATGTATATATATGTAATAGCATTCTCCTGTGAATTAGTAATAAGTGTGTTTTGGTGGTGGTGGTAGCCAGGCAAAACTGGGGTATTTCCTATTTTCTCCAACAGTTTAAAGTAGTGCAATCCCTTGGAATCACATCAGTTTGCCTATGGAGGCCTGTAATCTGGCCTGGTGTTGCATTCTCAGGCCCAGGGATATTCCGACAGGACCTTCCATTTGGGAGCTTTTTGGATGGTAGGACACAGTAGTGAAGTACTTAGAACACCCGTTCAGAGCATGTGCGCACACACACATCAAGTGGCAGCTTTGTGAATCCTTTATAAATCGAAAGCCTGTGACAGGTGATAAATACATATATACATAGGAGAGAGAAAGAACGAACAGACTAACAGGTTTTCAGATATACTGACTCTTTGATGGTTAGGTAAAGAGATCCATCATGGTACAGAGATTTTAGTGCCAATATAAGGTAGTAAAAAATTTTGATTCACCGATGTTGACAACCAAAAGTCATATTTATAGAGGAAGTGATAGCCCCTGGCAGAATAAATTCCTGTTACCATAGGAACACTGTTCCTCCCATTTGCCTCTTAGAAAGAGATTATATATATATCTGACTTTGAGCTTGGAAGTACCTGCCCACCAACAAGTCTAAGGCAAAATGTAAAATGCCTCCCCACTACCCCTGCCAGCCCTGCCTTCAAGGCTCTTTAAAAAAAGAAAAAATACACACACACACACAAAGAATAATCACTGGTGTGTTTTTTAATTTTTATTTTCTACTTTAAGAGTGTTCCTTAAAAAATCAATTCCACATTCTAAGAACAATACTGCGAAGAACCATAGTGAGTTGGCCTTTGAAACTTGTATTTCTGTTGAACAGTTAAAATGCTATGCCTCCTAAATGGGGAATGTTTTAGATATAGTCCCAAATCCTTTTATCTACTTTGTAAACTTCCACTAATTCATCAAATCCAGGATCTTCTATCACTTCCTCTGAGAAGCCTACCTTTATCACCACAGGCCCAAGGAACTGTCTCCCCCTTTATGTTTCCATGGACTTACATACATACTCAGTGCTCACCAGATCAAGCAACTAACCGTCATTCCCCAAACACACTCTAATGTTCTAACACTACTATCTCATTGTAATTGCTACCCTCCTCCTTCCTACCACCTTCCACACACTTGGACAACTCCTACTTATTCCTGAAAGCCCAGCTCACGTTTTTTCTCTTAAATCTTCCCTGTCCCATATGTAAGTAATCTGGTTTTCAAGCACTTTGTATTTATTTCTATTCCAGTCTTAAATGTTGCATTATAATTGTTTCAAAAAATATCTGCCACATGGTGGTGTTTAACAATTCTTTGTTGAATAAATTTCTCCAAAGAAAGTTTAAAAATGTTGCATCTCTTTGTTGAATTACATTTCTAGGATTAAAAAGAAAACTAATTTGTACATTTTATTAATTTTATTTTAAAAGTTCGATAAACTTTGAATACAGCTTTTCCAGGAAGTATAGGATGTGACACATGCCTTCAAATCAATAATATAGATATTGGACATGAATGTAGAAGGTGTCAGAAATTGTTCCAAATTATTTAATGACAAAGTTGGTTTTGTAGGACTTGGAGAGTGTATTGGACTTGGACAGCATTTAAAAAATAAGAGAAAAACTGGAGAAAGACTAGAAAATTCACCTTGGAAATATAAAAAAGCAGAAATTTAAGAAAAGAGATTCCTAAAGTAGTATAGATTATCATCTGCTGGAACTTGCTATAGGCTTTTGCCCCTATCAGAGTTCTCTGTAAAAATGCTTTTTTAGCATCTGCTCCTCAACCCACCTTGCCAAGGCCTGTGAAAGAAATTTTGTATTTTTAGTGTTTTTTAAAGAGACTCCTTCACTGTTTGATAAATAAGAGTGAATATGTGTAAAACAAAATATATTAACTCATGTGTTGGTTATTTTAATTATGTTTTTGTTTTTTTTTGTCCCTACAGAAAAATCTGTGACCCAGGCCTTACTGCTTTTGAACCTGAAGCTTTGGGTAATTTAGTGGAAGGGATGGACTTTCACCGATTCTACTTTGAAAATGGTACATTTATTCTAAATTTAATAACATGCCTTTTCCAACTTCTCTTTGAATTTCTCCCAGATTTTCAGTTTTCTTTGCTCTGTTCTGCAATGAGAATTTTCACCTTAGTCCAGCATTTTGCCTCATAAAATTTTGGTTTTGAAATTTAAAAGTTTTGTTTTGAAAACTAGCTGACTTATAAAAGGTAATGTTGATAAAGGTAATATACTCCATATAGGTCCCAGTAAATGTATGATATAAGCTGTAAAATGAATCACCAAAAATAAGTTTTCGTAAATATCAGTTTATATATGAAAAAATAAAAGACACCATAGCATGTCAGAATATTTGACATAAAGGAGTGCTTTCAAGCATATTTAGTGCTCATTTTCAAAGTAAAATGTACATGAAGATGAGTGATCAGGTAAATATTTCAGTTGCCATTAAAAGAATTTTAGTGGTCGGGGCGCCTGGGTGGCTCAGTCGGTTAAGCAGCTGCCTTAGGCTCAGGTCATGATCCCGGGGTCCTGGGTTCGAGCCCCGCATCAGGCTCCCTGCTTAGCCGGAAGCCTGCCTCTCCCTCTCCCAATCTTCCTGCTTGTGTTCCCTCCGTCGCTGTGTCTCTGTCAAATAAATAAAATCTTAAAAAAAAAAAACAGGGTGGGAGGATGGGTTAGCCTGGTGGTGGG